TAGCCTACTGGCTGAGTCATTTTATTTTACTTTAATCTCTAGCCTACTGATTGCCTATACTTTTGCACTTTTTAAAACTTTTTGTAAATATTTTACCTTTGATATGTATATACATTTTGTTTGTTTTTGTACCCTGTCAAGTACATTGGACTGTGTGTCCTGTAGTACGAAGGGAGTTCAACCTACTCAGAGTTAACTCAGGGTTATCAGGCAAACTCAGGTTTAACTAACTCTGACTGCCTACACTGGAGTTAAACTGTACTACGACAGTGGATAAGATGTTGGTTAGTTGAGTCGGTGTTAACTTACTTGGAGTTGGTGCGCTTTCGCATAAAAGGGGTGTGTTCGGCCGTGCAGGCAGAGTTTCTTCGCAACGGCACATGCTCCGTATTTCTCCAGAAGAATGCACGTTGATAGTGTCAGGATATGATGAATGTAAAGACAAGTTAACGACTAAATTTAATATAGCAGCGGCCGACAAAGCCAGGGAGTTTTGTTGGCATCGGATTGAGGAAATTTGTAATTATCTTCACAATGTTCTTGTTGTAGTTCAAATCTGTATTATGTGTTTTATGGGCTTTTATCGGCTTCTTTTATGTGTAATATGGTTAAGATGTAAAAGGTACAACTGTAGCCTAATGGGGGAAAAAAGGAGGTAATAATCCAAGACAAAATTTATTTTCCAAGATAAATCTACAAGTAAACAACTTTAATATTCTCTGAAATTATAGTCACACCTTTATGAGAAAAACTTAACTTTGCAAGGCTGCAACATCACACAAGTCTGCCGTGTAGCCTATTATGCATGCAGTTATTAGACTAGATTAGCAATCGGATTTAGGATTTGAGGAAAAATCCGTGATTTTAGCCCACAATAACTATCATGCACCTTAGAGAGTTTGCTGTGGATTGGTCGTATTCAGAAGAAAACACCAGAGTAATTGTTGATTTTTTGTGACTTTAATTTCAGGGAATTTCCAATTTTTGTTCTTGTAAAATCGGATATTAACCCTCACCCTGGCTCCGTATTTTTTGTACACGTAAAACAGACTATCTAAATATATGAAGACACTGAATTCAATTATTACAGATGGGCTACATCTAAGAAACTGTCCGTAAATAAAGTAAATAACTTCATTTCAGCTGAAGGAACAAATCAGAATGAAATCTGGCTGGAGCCAATCCCAGCTGACATCGGGCGCAAGGCGGGGTACACCCTGGACAGGTCGCCAGTACAAACTAAACATGCTCGGAGCAATTTAGAGATGCAGCGTAAATTGCCATGGCAACAGACCTTGGGTAACATCCACCTTTCGTAGTACGGGTTAACCATGAAGTTACACCTGACGTCACAGAGTTACTCCTGAAGTTACCTGGATAAGCCAGTTACCCTGCTTCTAGGTACAGGCCACTAGTGTATGATTTGTGCTATACAAATAAAGTTGCCTCGCCTTTGTTATGACCTTGGATCATATCTGTCATTTTGCCTTGGGATGACAGTTCTGTTCTTTACGTGTGTGTGTGTGTGTGTGTGTATAATGGTAAACAAGTGAGCACCTGGGATTGGACCATTCGAGTTGATTGCTGCCATTGGGATTGGTCCAATGGATAACAGCACACCTTTTAACCCCCAGCTGACAACAATATGTCTCTTCACTCTGCCACTTCCAACTGTGTGTCAGCCTCTTGCTCTGTGTTTTGTTTTGGGAAAGTAGAGAAACTGCTGTTTGTATGGCTCAGTGATGCGGATTCAGTGACCTTAGTGATGGCTCATTGTAAATAGATTGATCTTTGTAAGTAGGAATCTGTAAATACTGAGCACCCAGTAACGGGTAAAGTAAGAGTGAGAAGCCCTTTTAGTTTTGGAATGTTTTTTCTCCTGTTTTATTGTGTAGGATCCTAGGTGAGAGTTTTGCATCTTTACATTTGTGTTTTTATGTTAATAAAGTTCAGGGCTGTTTAGAGATCTTCTGTTTATTATTTTGGGCGTGGTGTTACTGACGATTGTAGGCAGACCCAAGAGCGGACACAGATCACAACAGGTGGTAGTAAAAGTAACAGACTTATTGCAAAAGGTGAAGTTGATGAACTGGTTGTTAAGGCAGGGGTTAGGTGGCAGGCAGGCAGGTTGTTTGCGAGATTCAGCTAGTGATAGCGGTGATGAAGAAGACAGCATGGCGATATCTGGGGTGTACGCAAGAATGCTGGTACACAGGAAAAAACACATTAGAACAAGTCACGGGAAGTATAGCTTCTACTAGTATGTAGACACTGGAGTATAAGAGACCGAGAGCACTGCACCACATAGGGTTTGCAACAATCTGGCGACAAGCAGTAGAAATCCAGGAGTATTTAACTACGTGGATGAAGACGTGATTGTCATCAGCTGTGCTGCTCCGCCAGGTGCCTGGAATGAAGCCACGCACTTCCACTTATACACCAGACGAGGAGGAACAAGGGAAAACACAGAAAAATCCCAGAGCCGCTGACTGTGACACATGGCTCATTTCTGAAGACAAATAAAACTGCTACTTTGTCATTTTGACGCGTTCTTTTGAATTGGCCTTACTTGGCAGTGGGAAGACTGGGGGGGACGTGCCTCTTGTTATGTCTAGTTTAACCCTAAATTAGGGACACCTTGCCTTTGTTGCAACAAATCATTTAGGCTAGTTAACGTCCAGCAGACATTGCATTGTGCTGCAATAGTGCATCATGCATTGGTATTTATCCTAGCTCTTATCAGACAGTATCATTGACAAATAGTTAAATTTAGTTGCCAAGGTATCAGAAGATTAATTGCCTATTGTCTTATGAGTAAATGTGTAAAAGTAACTCAGACATAATAAGAAACACATGACAAATCCAAACAAAATAGTCCAGCTAAGAACTCTTCCCATCTCTTTTATTTGGCTTACTAGTTTAATAAAATCTAGTTGTTTTCTGGGGGAAATTATCCTGTAGGATCTTTGTACATTGTGTTTTTCTCCTTAATTCACTTTTCAATCAATTTTACTGCCTCAGTGTTTAGTTTGAGTCTTGCCCATTTCCTATTTTATTTTGGTAATTGTGTGTCTGGTGTCCTTGTCGTGCTTTGTTTGTTGTCTGGCATGATTCCTAATGTGTTTCATCTGTTCGTTCACCCCACCAGCTTGTGTGCGTGTGTGTGCGTGTGTGTTGGTATTTATAGTCTTCATTTCCTTTAACTCTTTGCCAGATCATTTTCGTTCATGTCATGTGTCGTTCGTGTCCTGTACATCTGCCAGAACCCATGCCTGTTTGTTTGTTGTCTATGATTTTATATTCATATTCTTCACCTGCCGGTCATTTTGGATGATTGTTGTTTCTTTTGTCAATGGATTTTGGACATTTACGTTAAACAGCTTTGTAGAGACGAAGCTGCCCGTCTCTATAGACGGAGCTGCCAGGCATCGCATAGACAGAGTTGCACAACGTCACAGAGACGGAGCTGCCCAGCAATTCAGAGACTATGTTGTCCTGACTAGTTTCCAATCTGTAGTTCAGCCAACTCCTGTTTGTGTGTCTATTCAGTGGCCCGGCTGACTCCTACTCCCCGTGTCCAGTCAGCGGCCTAGCCGACTCATGCACCTCATATGCACTCAACGGTTCGTCTGACTCCAGTTCCTGCTGCCAAGCCACATGCAACTCTGTGACCTTGCTGAGCAGCTTCCCCATCCTGTCCTTGCTAAGCTGCAATTGACTTTGGCTCCTGTGCTGCAGCAGATCTCTGGGTCGGAACTGCAGCATTCCCCTGTTACTAAACATCAGCAATCCACTGGCCCTGTTGAGCAGCTTCCTTAACCTGTCATTGTTGAGTTGCTTTCTGCTGACTCTGCTACATTAGTCCCCAGACTCTGTTGTGCTGCCACAGCCCCCCCTTCCAAGTCCAGTTGAGCTGCAATTGACTTTGCAGTGTCCAACGTAACACTTTTTCCCCTACTGGCCCTTAGCGACAGTAGAGCAGAGTTTCACTGGCCCCTTTGCTTATTTTTACTGGCCTTACTGTTTCCATAACACGGTTTACTTTTTTAATCGAATAGAAATTGTATTGATTTATTGAAACAACAAAGAACTGATTGATTTTCTCATAACATTGTAAAGATTTTAATGTAAATTTTTTTTAGTTGATTTTCCCATGAAACGTGTTTCCTGTAAAAACACAAAGATAGGGAGGGACTTCGCTTACACTAGCAAATAGTGCTGAATCCGCGTTACGCCCCCCACCGGGTCATGCACACTCTGTGTGAACACGGCAGCTGGACTGGGACCAAACACAGCCTCCAGGAACGACAGAGGCCAGTTTGACGAGTGCCAAGGTGGCTTTCTTGCTGGGTTTGGCTCTTGGCACCCCAGGGCTGAGCTAGCTGACTCAGCTACTTGCACGGCTAACCGAGCTAACTAACTACAGATTCAGACAGATACAGTTAGCAGCAGTTAGCGGTTTAGCAAAAAGTTAAGCTATCTGTCCATCAAAAAACTCTGTAAATTACCTCGGTACTGTATTCCCCGTTCACTGGGACCATAACATAACAGTGTTTCGTGTGATACAACAAAATATTGGAAATAACGATAAGCTAAAAATTGTTTTAAATCCATCTGGAGTGTATGAACTCTTTAGGAAAGCTGTCCAGAGATAGTGTCTCTACCTTTTCTTATATTGCTAGTTTATAGTTTCAGTGTATAGTGTCAATCCTTAAAATATGAAGGAGAAGGAATGACATAAAAATGCCTTTAAATATTTTCTTTGCAATTCTAAGTATGGTATTCATTGGTGTGCTGTTATGTGTCTGCTTTTCTGTTTAGTCTTTGTGTTATTTTTTCTCTGTCTCTCAGCTCCAACTGTTCAAGCGTTATGTTTAATAGCCCGCTAAGAAGAATTCGACTGGTATTCGACTAGGAAAATCTTCAAGGGCAGCCCTACCCCTGAAATATCGTAGCAGTACCAATTTCCTCACACAGGTCTTTGCTCTTTCCCTCCTCAGTTGGCCATGGTCAAAGTGAAGGAGACAGGATGAACATCAAAGACTTCCAGATTTACATCAGAGACTCCCTGCAGCACATTGACCTGATGAAATCCCGTCACCCCAACCTGCCTGTATTCATCGTGGGTCACTCCATGGTAAGACATGCAGTATTTTCTTGATAATTGCAAATTAAACTGGGATTTATGGGTAAGTCTTTGGATTTTATTTTTATTTCTATCTCAAATGATAGCTCCAAGTAAAGTGAATTTCTTGCTCTCGGCGAGGCCTGTTTTGTTTGGTGTAAAATCACGTAATATTGTTTTGTAGCGCCTGTTACAGTGTGCTTGACACGCACAGAGAGGGACAGCTGCATGAAATTGAAGGGCCCCATTCAAGCACAGAAATGAAAAATACAGAGATTGGTGTTAAGAGGTTTTCTGCGACACAGTGACATTCAAACGAAAGAAATGGCAAATACTCTTCTTTCAGTACAAAGTGGGTTTATGTCCCAAAATAATCAGCCATGAAAAACTAGAGTGCATGGTGTGCTGCTCAGAACTGGATGAAATCTGGATTAAATAGCAAGAATAACAAGAAAAACACAGAGTCAGGGTGTTTTAATATTATGCGCACTTTCAAAAACAAACTGTATATTGCAGTACAATACTTTTTGTAATTTTAATGACATTTTATCTGGTTTGTCTTGGTCCTAGCACCAGATACATTGTTTCTGTGTGATTGTGCCAAATTCCACATTTTATCTGCAAACAATTCAGGGAAGATTTGCTATTATGCTGTTATCTCTTCTTAGAAAACTCCTGCTTACCATTTACACAGTGACATATTCTGCACAGCCTGCAGCTGCTGTTCAACGAAAACCTTCAACAGAGGAGTTACAGGTTCAGTGACCTGCGTGAAGTCAGTGTAGCCGTATTTGTTGACGAAGAGGAAAGAGCGCTCACTTTCCGCAGTCAGTCCAGGAATCTATGTAATGTTCTTCTAACCTTTGGGGTCAGTGACTGTGTGTTATTAATCACCTTTATCCTCATTATATCAGAAAATGTCAGGTTTTCACAAGTATTACAATTAAATACAGCAGTAGGTCTCCTAATAGGTTCTATGTACAAACATTTTTTTTAGTGAGAGAGTGAGCATTCGAGGACTCTTTTCATTATTCATGAATCCATCAGTTGAGCAGTGAGTTACATAAGGAGATGCATATGCTGGTTATCTTAGCTTAGCAGAAGATTGGAAGTCTGGTTCCTTCCAACAAAACAAACTCCACCTACCAGAGCCTCTAAAGCAGCGGTCGGCAAATAAGTCTGGCATCGGGCCAAAATATTTTTCAAGCCGTTACACGGTGGATCAGAACATAGTCAAATTATTTCAAACCCTTGGCTCGGCTTTTTCAGAGGTGTGTCAAGCAAACCAGAAACTCTTTTGAATGCCCTGCAGAACTCTTCAAAGTAAAAGCTCTCAATAAACTCAACATGAAGCATTACTGCAAAAAACGCGCTTTTATTTTGGAGGCACAATCACTCAAGAGGAAGTGATTGTGAAAGTAACTGTTGCTATCATGACTGAGATCTATTTCCGCACTAGCTGCTATCAATTTATTTATTTTTTCTGAAATCATGCAATTGGACCACGGGCCAGATATTATTGTTATTAGTGTTACTTCCACAAACCTCTAGGCTAGCTTTGTGCTAAGCTAAGCTAACAGGCTGCTGGCTGTTGTAGTATTTTTAATGTAGGCAACAGAAATGAGAGTGGTATCAATCTTATCATCCAACACTAGTAGTAGTTCCCAAAACTTTGAATCTTTGCTTTAAAAATTTTCCACCACCCAAGGTATAATCTGCAAAGTATTGTCAGCCCAACAGTACTTAACCCAAAGATATAAAATTTGCAAAGATACAGACAGAGAAAAGCACCAGATCCTTATATTTGAGAAGCAAATGTTTGGATTTTTGGATTATCAATTAATCAATTATCAAATTATTGAAATTATTGTAACTATCTCTGGTCGAACAACAGTAGCTGGGCAGTGACCTTGAGTATTGTTGTCACAATGAGGTTGCCAGGAAACCAGTGCTTCAGCCAGAGGCATGCCGCACACAAGAACTGTTATATACCTCCAAAACGCAACTCACCCTAAAACACAGATTGTTGTTCTCACATTCAACTTTTATATGGATTTTGGATAGATTTTTTACCTGTTTCCAGGATTGTTTCCTGCCGACTCTGCCTCCATACTGTAATATTTAGTTATATTGATTGTGCTGCAAACTATTTTGTGCCGTGAACAGGGTTTAACATAAAGCATGCTTAATAGTTGGAAATGCAAAAACATATTTTATAAATTATAAATGTCCCATTTCCTTGAGATTCCCTTTAATTGCTTCAGAGCTTTTATCAGCTGAATTAAAAACAAATAAATAAATTCTGGAGTTAAATTCAGTGCAGACAGCATCAAAGACTTTCACACGTGGCTTTATGAAAATCTACAGACACACAGTTGAACTAGAATTGAGGAAAATTATGCCTGGACACAAAGCATAAAGGCCAGCCAGGGAACTATTTTTAACTGATCAGTTTATTTAGTTTTTCACAGAGCTGCATTCAGTATCACAGCCTGCTGTGCTCTGTGACCCACAAACTGACCCACAGAACAAATGATTACTGTCAGTTATGTAGGTCCAGTCAATGTGTACTCCTTTGAGCTTGTCTTTTGTTGGATGAACAAGTTGCTGAGAATCTTTATTCATACAGGACGCACAAAGATATTGCACTAATATCTCGTGTTATATAAGTAAGAAGCTGACTGTCACAAAACATGAAACAAAAGATTCTTTGAATAGCATGCAGCCAGCACCACCTGTAAGTCATTTCAAGCTAAACACGATAACACAGTTTTTAGTATCTTAGCTCACAGCTGGAAGCTTCATTTCAAGCAGGGAACACAGAGGATAAATGCAAATTCATTACAGAACTGTTCTGCTATGAGAAGTGCAGAGCTTGTTATCTCGTAGCACAGCAGTGGTTCAGTGGGCATGTTGGATTCACTGAATTCAATTCATTCAGTGGGCATGTTGGATGTTGCTTTGTGGAAACATTTGATCTACATTATTTGAAAATACATGTCTCTTTTTGCGCTTGTTAAGGAAAAGTTGGCAGAAGAAGTACAAGACAACCCTTGTTAGTTAGTAACTGTGTGTATTGAGGCATAATTTTTACAAGCTTTATATGTTGTAAGTTATGGGTTTATTTATTTTAGTAATAAGTCATTAATAAGAACAAATTTTGCTGACAAATGCAAACATTTACAACAGCAAACTTGATGGTATGTTATGGTGGCAGAAACCATAATTAAAAACTTTTTAACACCGACCTGATGGCTTAGAAAGTGGGAAACCCATTCAATTTCATGACTGACTGATCTGCAGAATTGGTGGCTACTTAGAAAGCGAGAAAACCATGGGTACTTTATAGATTTACCACATTGTTTGATGATTTATTTTTTATAGCAAGTGTTTGCTATCAAAACATCTCTTTTCATGATAGAAACATTTTTATGGCTTCAGACAATCAGAAGCCATATATAGTATGTCCATCATTGTTTTTCTACTGTTAAAATATTGTTTCCTGCTTTGGAGTGTTTTACATCAGACTGTCCACCACTCAAAACAACACCTTCTCCTTGTAAATGAGGTCATATTCAATGGCGTCTGTTTGGCTTTTAGATCATTTACACAAAACTATGTAAATCATGAGTCTGTTTTTTAAACCTTTCATGGCTTATGCTTTAGTATGCAGCAGTACTGTATTCATTTGAAGACTGAGGTTGTGTTCAAAACAATCTAAGGTTGTAGGAGCACAGACGCAAATCTTTTTGTGTAAATTATCTGGGATCCCAGATGGAGGTTAAGCGCCTGTTTAGACATCCAAGTCTATAAATATTACGGCAGAGCAGACCAAAGTCCCAATAGCACCTCCTTCCTTTCTTCCTTCTGCCCACATCCTTGTCTCATACCCTCTTCCCTGCTTTCTCTCTCTGTTCTTTCTGTCAATCCCACCATCTGTGTCATTTCATCAGATGTTCATTTTGTGCTGTCATGTAAGCCAGTCCACCTGTCCTACCATCATCTCCTTTCATTTCTTGTCATCTCCTTCCTCCACAGTACCTTTCTTCTTCCATTTATTTGTTTTGCTTTCATTTTCTTTTCTCATTTTCTTTCTTTTTCCTCCTTTCATCCTAGTTCATATTTGTCAACCCTGTCCTTTCTTTTTCATAGCCTTTCTTCCTTTTCATCTCGACTCTCTGTCCCCTGGAAACAAATAAAACCCAGACTTAAAGTTTGGGAAACCCTACCCACGTTTCTACAGGCCTCATTTCCTACCAGTGTTGTGACTCCTCATCCTGTTTCTATTAGCCTGTTCCTCTTCTCCATTTGTATGAATCTCTGGTTAACGGGGCCGGGATGACGCAAAAACCACAAAACAATGGAAACCACCTGTGGATTCTACACTGTGTGATCCAATGATAACATCCTGAGGAGACTGTGAAGCAGTTAGCCAAGGGGGGGCTAGTGTCCCCCTTTGCGAGTCACAAATACATAATCTTAATATACTTGTAAGTTGTGAGTAATGAGAGATAGATAGATATACAGATATAGATAGAGATATATATATATATATATGAGCCATTTGCTTTTGGCAGTCTGTCAGTGTTTCACACACTCTGTCTTTCACATTGACCTTAAATTTGCCAGCAATCATTAGATAGATTCCAAATAAAGATGGTACCCAGAGGATGAATTCTAATGACGGTGGTGATGACCTGACTTTTCATCTAGAACCACCTGCAGGTCAAAGTTTTCACATATCCAGTGAAATATCTTGGCACAAAATTCATGGATGCCAGAGAATGCATCCCAATGACTATGGAGATTTTTCTTTTTTCTGTCTTTATTTACTTTTAGCACCATCATCAGATTGCAATACAGAAATAATTTATCGCCAAATACTCGTAAAACTATTGACATTCTCATCCATGTGACCATAATTTACTAAATACACATCATGTTGTACTGAAGAAGACTTAAAACTAATGATTGAGATCATAAAATCTGTTTTCTGAGATAATAAATCTGGTAAGAGGTAAGGTCAATTTACTATTATTTGTAATGGAACCGGACTTCTTTTTGCCACCAGAGGAGTCGCCTCCTGCTGGCCATTAGAAAGAATGCAGGTTTAAAGAGGTGGTATTATGCTTTTTGGCTTTTTCCCTCTCCTTTATTGAGTTATATACCTTCTTTGTGCATGTTATAGGTTTGCAAAGTGAAAAGGGCCAAAGTCCAGCCCAAAGGGAGTTCCCCTCTCCTACAGAAAACTCTGCTCTGAACTGCCTGAAAACAGCTCGTTTGTTGTCCAGCCTTTACTTCCCTTTCTTGTGATGTCAAGTAAATACGTGTCATAATGCTCGCCAAGCGACTAGTCTGACACGCCCTCAGGAACACAGGTGGAAAAACACTGAGCTGTAGCACACCTCTCCTCTCCCTTCCAAGCACTAGCAACCCTCCAGGCAGTCAGTGGACATGAAGTTGTTACTGTGATGTAGAGACAGAGCTCAGTTAAAACTTTATGGATGAAAGACACTTTTGTTACCACTCTGAAACTCTTGCTCCTGTCCATATTTCCAAGCTGGTCGGCAACATGTAGCCTACAGCTGAATTGAAGCTTTTCTCTGCTTCTGATTGGCTATTACTGGCCTTTCGCTGACCTGCCCTTCTCTGCTTCTGATTGGCTAGTAGTCCGAACTACTCATGTGCAACTCCCAACACAGATCATTTAGAGACAAGATGTATAAACAAATATGCTAAAACGAAGCCTTCAACACACAGGGTGAAAAGAGAAGCTGCAGCAATGTGCAGTATGAAAAAAAAATGGTGTTTTTTTGAAAATGAAACCATGTAAACCTTTTCTGGTACAACCCCTAAATAGGATTTTGAACCTGAAAATGAGCATAATGCCACCTCTTTAAGTTACCTCCCCAAGTGTGAACTATGTAGTTTATAAAAGCCAGCAATTAAAAAAAAAATTGACTACACAATATTATACAAATACACTATAACAGGGAGTCATAGTATTAAAGACTGAAATTAAAATTAGTCTCACTTGCTCAATTTCTTATTGTTTCCACAAGCTAAACATTAAAGCAATCTGCCAAAAATTTTGTACTTTATTAGTACCTGCTTACCATCAATTAATTATTAGAACTCTTATTTTTTTACTCCATGTTGCTTACTGTAACATACAATGGGACTGTTAACTGTTGATTCTGCTAACTAATACTGCTAGATTAATACTGAAGCTTCCTGTCACTGGTGTGGAAACAGGCATACCAATTTGTCCTAATTTACACTAATGAAGATCAGAGTTTATGTTTAAAAATGTTTCCATCATTAGCATTTACCTAATGTAAAACAGTACAGCGTCACAGAGCTACAAGCATAACTGTAAATTCTTTGTCATGTTAAAAAAAATGATTAACTAAGTGAATAATTACCGTATATAATTTGAAAGCACTGCATGCTGATGTGAAGTAATTTGAAGTAATCATTTCCCAAATTTTTCACAAAACATCTAAACACGAAGAAATAAAATGTGAAATCATTTAAAATGTCAAAATAAATTACAGTTACAAATTTCTAACTTCTGTGTCAGATACTACACACTGACTATTTCACAGTTTTCACAGTTTTCTCTGCATCGTATTTGGTTAAGCCATATTTCAAGAATTGTAGGATTTTTTTCAGTGTTGTATTAGCTCAAGGGAATGCTGACAAATGCCTTCAGCTTTGGCTCCTTCTCACTCTTCCAGCATTTATGGCCAAGGCTCATCTGTCCTTCTTCCTTAGTGCCAGAGTTTTATGTAATTGTTTTTCATAGTTAGGGCCTTCAGTGTATTTGTCCATCTTTTCAACTCTCCATCGCTTACTGTATCTATTACTACTTCAGTTTCTTCTCATGCTAAGCCACATTGTGTGCGACCACTTCACTCATTTTGTCCTGTTCATCATTGTTTTCTTTTTACTGAATTATTTGTCCTTGTTGAATTGTTTAATTGGAGAGAGTTGAATCTGTCCATACCAGTTCTATAATTATGTAAAGGGCATTTAGTCTAAATAACAATAATACATGCAATAATGAAACAGCAGCCTAGTTTATATTATGTCCATGTATTAGCTGTTTATTTTATATAACGTCAGTACGTTAGCTCCCCAGGCAAAAGTCCACCCACTGTCAGCGGACAGACAAGATACAATACCAGTATTCATCCTCTCAAAGTTCAGAGTGAGAAAGTGTAAGGAGGCTTCTTAAAGAGCTTCTCTGTCCCAGTCCTCACTCTCTCTCTTTCTCTCTTCTTTTCTTTATTCACACTTATCGCTCTCTATCTCATTGGAGCCCACTACACAAAGTGTGTGTGTGTGTGTAATGGCATTACCCAGAATGGGCCTTTTCACCAAATTACATTCAGTCATCTTGTTATATTTAACCAGAAAGCAAATGTGTTGAACCAGTCCGCCAGTTTGGCCAGCTTAAATGATGCAAGAGAAATCTGATTGAGCAACATTTCTGTGAGTGTGTGTCATGGTGTTTACACATGGATATTTCACTTTAGTCTTTGAACATGTGGAAAGGAGAGACATGCTAGCCAGCCTCTTTTCCTAACTCTGTGTGGGTTTATGCATGCAGGCAATAGTGTGTGAGTGTGCTTCAGAAAGTGGCATTTTCTGGTGGGAAATGTTTCGTCTTAGTGCCTCTTTCCATGAAGTGAGCCTGTCATTGGCCCCAGCCTGATGAATATTCATACAAGTGACAAAGAACGCTCACATAAACAAAGTTGAAGCCAATTAGTCTCTGGGGGCAGATTCACCAATTCAGCATCTGTGTGTGTGTGTGTGTGTGTGTGTGTGTGTGTGTGTGTGCACCCCGCACAGACACTTCCACTTGTTGCATATGAGAAGAGAAACCACGACAAAGTAAACCATGGTAAATTGATTTGAGTCTTGGCCGCCGCATAGCTGGTAATTATCATGGCCCTACATCACAGGATTTAAATCACAATCCCAAATGTCAGCGTGGGTGCCAAGGTGTGGCCTCGCGCCACTACTTGCTGCAGCTACACAGTGCATGTTGTGCCCTAAGGGCCGTGGGTTCACATTCGCATTTCTCTCACAGTCTATGTAGAACAACAGCAACAAAAGAACAGGGTGGAAATTCACGCCAGCCTAAACAAAAGACGGATTGTTTTATGATCGCCTTGACCTCTGAGAAGTTTTCCCACTGCTCCTCGCATCATAACCTCTCACGTACTTTGCTAAGACCTTCCCACTCCTGTTAGATGAGAAAGGGCACTCCCTGTTTTCTGTTACAGGCCGAAGAAGTCATTCATATCATCTCCCCCTCAATGAAACATGTTCTTTCTTCAATAAAATAATCCCACCTTCTAGAAAAAGATAAATACCTCATCAATTAAATTTGTAGTTAAATAAAATAAAAAAATCTGTGCTTTTTCTTATTCAGGGTGGCGCTATCTCTATCCTGACGGCCTGTGAGAGGCCCAATGATTTTGCTGGAGTGGTTCTGATTGCACCAATGGTCCAGATGAACCCAGACTCAGCCACGCCATTCAAGGTACCACATAATCGCATATCCTCTCATTCTCTCCACTGTTCTTTTATTCTCTCCTTCCCATTCTTTATCTCTGCTCTTTCCTTTCTAATTGAGTTACAGGCAATTACTCAGTTAACCCAGGAGTCAGTCGATACTGCACTCAGCCCAATACTGACACTTTAGTTTGTGTGTTTTGAAAATCAGTACCACTTGAGAAACATTAGCCGTCTCTTGCTGAATCTCAAATAGTGTGTGTGTCGAATTTTCAAGGCCAAATGAAAACCAGTGTCAAAATCTGCATGGGTGAAGAAGAGACTTGTTTTTTCCTGCAGACATAAACAGTCGAAACACACTGGGTGCAAACAGGTGAATTATACAGTACACACTCAAGATTTTATGACTGTATCTCTTTGTAACACTAGGCAGATGGCAAGGAAAAAAAGAGAGAGATAGAAATATTCATCAGGGAATGTGCAAAAAATAAACTGAAGTGCTCCGTGTGTTTTGTTTTTCGCTGTTTGCAGGTTTTTCTGGCGAAGGTTCTGAACCACATGCTGCCAAGCCTCACTCTGGGCTCCATCGACTCCAAATGGGTCTCACGGGACAAGACGCAGGTAGCAGAAAATAGAATTTACAAGGTCTCAAGCGGGAAATCTGCACTAGGGCTGACCCCCAATAGTCGAAGATTCGATGCTTCGATGGGTGGCGCCTGATTCTGATGCTTAACATCTGATTATTCAGAGAACTATCAGTTTTCTCCCAATAGGTTAATATACAGCCTATTACAATATACATTTCAACGTTTAATGCTGTAAATAAAAAAAATGAGCCCCGGCTTCACTGGTGCTGTGCAGAGTTGTCCGCACCTCGTGGGACTCTCAGATAATTTATTAGTTGATGAACCACACAGCACATAGCCGGCTGCTTGAAATAGACCCACGAGGAACCGCGACGTGCATGTAGTTGTCGGCAGCATGACATGCACGCAGGCTCGAGAGAGAGAGAGAGAGAGAGAGAGAGAGACCCCCTCAGTTTAGCTGGAAATTTACAGTGTCAGTTGAATGAAAAGAGACTGCAGCTCTGCAGCTTCTCAAGATGAAAGCGGAGCTACCGTGTGTAACCCCACTCCCGCTCGCAATCGCTGCGCACAAAAAAACACGATTCCACTATCAGTTGACTATAGGCAGGACTTGACGATGTAAATCCTTAGTCGGGGACAGCCCTAATGTGCACATGTGTGAAGTCATTCACTAACTTTTTTGGACAGTCCCAGGATGAAAATCCATCCCACAATACTGTACATAATTTGAATCCTTTCCAAACCGCAGGTGGTTTGCCTTCTTGCCAAGTTTGTCTGTGTGTAATACCGTGGGTGGATTGCATTGTGTTATTTGTGATTATAAAAACAAATGCATGTACTGTGTCACCTACAGGACAAAGGGGTCACAAGGTCTATAACAAAGTTGTGTGATTTAGTTTATGTATGTGTGTGTTCTGTGTGTGTTCTGTGTGTGTTCACTCACCCACATTGTATAACCTCAAGAGGAACTACAGAAGAAACAACAAATGGCACATATAATGTGTATGTGTACTGGTTAGGTCTACGTCATTCCTGTGGCTGTACATTTTGACACGACAAAGCTGACCTTTCAGAAACAGTCTGTGATAACAATAGGATCCCACACCCTGCTGCTTCTGCTTCCTACTGTTGGGGGAAGTGTTCAAGGTACAATAATCTATGGACACAATAGCTTCAAACCTCAAACCTGAATCACTGAAAGAAAGCTACATTAAAGATAATTTTTTTCATAAGATAGTTAACAGCAGAACAGAAAGACGGCATGTGAGAAGGGTTCCTGACAGGATTTATTCAGTATTAAAAATAGACTTATACTTGACACAGGTGGTCAGCTGGAGTCTCGCCATAGATGGCTACTGTACAGTGCAGGTTTTGAGTCGTAGTTCAGAGTCAGATTTCACCCGTTGATATCACCACTGCATCATTAGATGGATGTGTCGTACGTGACTGGGAAAGATCTTGTTCTAATTATATTCCCCACAGTAATTGAGTTTACATTCTTTCATGTGCTTTGGTCTACGAGATACCATCTTGGTATAATTATCCAATATTTCACAAAAAAAAAAGCAAAGATCAGAGAAAAGTACGTTCAGATTTGTGTAGCAGAACTGATTTGTTTAATCTTGTGACCATTTGGAGGGGCCTGACCCCTGGATTTGGAACCACTGGCCAACACTTCCTAACAATATATAAAGTAGTCAATTAGCTCCACCACTAGCTACAACAGTAAAATGCTGGATTGATGCAACAGCATTAAAAATCTAATCATCAATCGACCACCTAGTTATCCTCTCCCTCTTCTATTCTCCACCAGCATGAGACATTTGTAGAAGAATACACAAGCACCCTTTGCTGACAGTTCTTGCAGCCACCACCGCAGCCCAATGTGTAATTACAGTTTTGCAGCAAAATCCCTTCATGTAGAGGCATAAATGAAGCATTAATGTGCATACACAGGGATATAATGTCTGACCAAGCCACTGGGATGCTCCCTTCATGCACAAATCACATAAACAAGCAAATAAGGCTTGATACAAAAATAAATCAACACTTTTACAAGAAATTTCACAACTTTGCCTTTCCACAGTGAGATCAAGTGTAGAACTATCAATCAAGAAGATGATTTGTAATATGTATTCAGTCCAACTGCCTTTTTGTAATGTTATCTCAATTTTGAAGGAAATATTTTGCATTTATGAGTGTCACAACTCTGAACATGTCGCGTTGTGTTTCATTCATTCATTACTCAAAGCAGCCGCTCATGTGGTTTGAGAGAAGCTGTTTCTGTTAGAGTGGGCCATCAGCTGTGTTTACATACACTGAACAAAATTATAAACACAACAATTTTGTTTTTGCCCCCATTCATCATGAGCTGAACTTCAAAGACTTCCTCTATGCACACAGAAGGCCTATTTTTCTCAAATATTGTTCACAAATCTTTCAAAATCTGTGTCAGTGAGCACTTTTGCTTTTTTCCTTTGCCGAGATAATCCATCCACCTCCCAGGTGTGGCATATCAAGATGCTGATCAGACAGCATGGGTATTGCACAGGTGTGCCTCAGGCTGGCCACAATAAAAGGCCGCTCGAAAATGTGCAGTTCCATCACACAGGATGATGCCACAGATGTTGCAAGCAAGAGAGAAAATGGCCTTTTGTGTACATAGAGAAAGTCTTAGATCTTTGAGTTCAGCTCATGATGAATGGGGGCAAAAACAAAAGTGTTTATAATTTTGTTCAGTGTAGAAGCTGAATAGATATGAGTGTGACTTATGTGAGAGCACATTATGGAACTTAAAGTATTCGTGTTTAATGTCAGATTAACAGGGAGTCCTTTGCTATTCAACTGTGATTTAACTAATTTAAAGTATCACATCTACTTTATTTTTCTGTGTCCCTCCCTTCCTCTAACTTATATATAGAGCTGATAAAGTTACATTAAGAAAGAAATTAGAAAGAAATGCAGAATTTGAATTAAATAAAAATGTTTGTCATTATTGAAGTATAAATTAAGCTCTTGGACAGTTGTAAAGGAACATTCTTGCCCTGTTCAGTTGAATTTGTGTTCAGTTACATTATTTAGCGTATTTTTATGCTCAATGCGACTTGCAATAAATACATTCAACCATGTGAATACAATCCAAGAAGTGTCAGGACAGCAAACAGCATAATTTTGTGGAGCAGTAGCTGGGGCCCCCTTGTAGTGAGGGAATCATAAGCAAACCAGCAGTAGCTGACCATAGTGTACAGGTTTTGGTGTATGGTTTGGCCATGTCCTGGATGTAGGATAGGTCTGACCAATTTGCTGCAACAGCTGGAAAATACCAGTGTTTTGAATTGGATTTGGGCAGAACTTAGGTAGGCTGGTGGTTGCTGTGTTGAGCAAAAAGGATCAAAATGAAGTCTGTGAACTCAAAGAAACAGAAGAGCAGCTGACATCAGAATCAGCTCCGCATTAGAGGGAGATTCATGATAAACTTGAGCATCGTCCACTTTGTCCAATAACTCTTTCCTTCCGCTCTCCTGCCAGGTGGAGGCGTATGACGCTGATGAGCTGAACTTCCACGGTGGCATGCGGGTGTCGTTCGGCATGCAGCTGATGGGGGCAGCCGCGCGTATCGAGAGAGAGATCCCGTCCATCAGCTGGCCCTTCCTGCTCCTGCACGGCGACGCTGACAAGCTCTGCGACATGAGAGGCTCCAAGATGATGCACGAGAACGCTCCGAGCTCAGACAAGAAAATCAAGGTGGGGATGATTTGTGTCACGGCGGGTTATGCCAGACAAAGGTGATTGGACCCAAATGTAGACAGAACGGGTAGACTTTTGCAGGTCCATGATTTATTGTCCATAAATGAGTGAGCTTACAGGCACGTGTTGATAGGCAGACCAGTAGACAGGCAGGCAACAAACAGGTGGCAGGCAGGCAGATACAGGTCCAGGTAACAAAAAGTCAAATGCAAAAAACAACAAGGCAACTAGGATAACCTGCAATGAACAACGTGTGAACTGGTATAAATGGTGTGTGCCTGATAGGGAATGAGTTGCAGGTGAGGAGTAACTGCAGGCCTTATGAGTGAAGTGAGAACAGGGCCCTGTTTCAGAAAGCAGGCTTAACAAACTCTGAGCTTATCCCTGAGCTCTGAGTTGATTGAGCCTGAGGTGGGAAACTCAATCAACGTTCAATCAACTCTGAGTATGTTGAGCCTAAAGGAAGCGCGTGTGTGGAGATGAAAAGGATCAAAGGAAAGGAAGGAAAAAAGGATCAATACGCTAACATTAGTACTTTGTATACAGCGTTGCTCATCATCATCATTTACCAGATTGGAATTTCTTTAATAAATGAGTTATTTAATAAATAAGAACGACAACATCAGTCACCGGAGTTACTGATCTTGGGTTTATCTGATCTGATGAGTTTCCCTCATCTCAGGCTTAACAAACTCAGAATTTTCACTAATCCCGCTTTCTGAAACGGGGCCCAGGTGTGTAGTTGGGTGTGGCAGGCAGGTGACAAGAAAAGGAGGGAAAGTCTGAGGGCATCTGGTGGACAGCTTGGGGATGGCACGGTCTGGGGAGCTGGAGGTATATGATTTCTACGTCAGTGGGACTGACTAATAAAATAAGGTGTAAGAAAATGAAATTGTCCCATTCATACAAACAAGTAGCCAAAACGTCATTTTGTTCCTTTTTTTTAAAGCTCAATCTGTTAGAATACCAAACATCAGGGAATAATGTATCACACCACTGCCTTCTGACATTTTAAAAATGGCACTTGTATTGGCTTGATGATACAGAAGCTACCCAGTTCAATATACTTGGCTTATGTGAAAAAGGTCAAATGAGTTGTGTTGGCAGTAAAAGATATACAATATATTTTTTAACCATTAAATAGTGCATTATTGAATGAAACCTTTCGGTTAAACTTCAGTGTACTCGCACACCCACACACATACTTACTGCGGCTCCAGTAGGGTGCATTCACTGACAGAGAGACTGGAGGCTGTTTGACCTTTAGATATTCATAGAAAAAAAGGAAGTTGATACACTCTTTTATCACATGGGGATGAACAGGAGAAAAAAAAAATGGCCAGTGAGAGAAGTGAAAAGAGAAAAGAGAGTTGAGAGCTTACTTCTTATCTTTGTGTGCCGTCATAAGACATTTGTAAAGAATCAAGTGGTGTTCATGAGGTGCAGGGACTCTTATCAGAGATGATCAGTGGATGTTTTGTCTGCAGTTTTCATAACATCATAAGAAATAGTATCAGGAAATCTGTTGATTACAGAAAAGCATAAGTTTCATTAACTTTGACTCTTAACAGCCTGGACTGCAGTCTGTTCAGAAAAGCCTGGAAACTCACAATTTATTTGGTGTTCTCCAAATAGCTCAGATTTCAAATAACCTTTTTTAAGCTTAATTAAACCACTTTTTAACGACATCCCTGTTGCATGCATCCCTTCTCCCTGACTAGTTCTCATTGTTCCTGTTCAGGTCTACGAGGGAGGCTACCATGCCCTTCACCATGACCTCCCAGAGGTGGTCGAGTCCGTGTTGAAGGAGGTGACCAGCTGGATCACAGAGCGCCTGCCCGACACGACAACCCCACAACCGCAGGGCTCCTAGAAACATGACTTGGTCAACTCAATCAGCGCTCCAAGGCGTCCCAAGAGGCCTGCTCACTTTCCAGCTGTCTGTCAGGCATAACAATACTACTACACTCTCTGGTCTGGGAAATACATTTGAGCATACAGACTGACATTATTAAGTTGACTGACTTCATCCTTCATCCACATACTGTACAAAAAATAATATATCCACCTTTCCTTTGTACCTATAAATCAGCCCAAGTTACAGTGATTTAATTTGGATGACAGGGTCAGAAACCACTTGTTATTGTAGATCGTCAGCAGCAGTGGTCAGTTTCCCTCCTCATAGGCAGGGATGTGTCTTGTGTATTTCGGGCAGTGGGCTTATTTGGTTGGTTCATCATCTCCATTAGACCTCATTAAAGTTCAGCTCAAGTAAAGTAAAGTTTAAGCTACAGTATGCTGGGGCTCAAAGTGCAATAACATAGCTTCCATCACCTCGATTATACACAGGCCTGATCTCTTAAGTAGTAATACATTATACATTATTAATCTGTGCAGGTCCTTTTTTGCTCATCCACCATTAACGAGGTCAAAGGTCAGCGAGAGGACTTCACCTCAGGGGCTGCTGTAGGTTCTGTGCAGGGTAAATAATTAATCTCGGGGTCTTCACACTGCTTTACTGTCTTCACAGTATCAGTAGATGTATAACAGCCAATATCACTGGAAACAACTCTCATTTTCAGTGAGACAGTTTTGTCTCAGTTTTTTCTTTGCACCGATATATTACGTGTAAGATTTGTCTAATTCATCTAAACCCAACTGGGGGTCTAGTTTCAAATATAGTCCTAATAATTATATTTCACTTCATAAATCAAGGGACTCATCCTGGCAAAATAGTTCTTGAGAACTCATCCCCTCCATTTATTGACTGATTGACTGACCATTTATTAACACAATAACTTTCCATTTAATGTACTATATCCTTTCAGTGTGCCTAGTTAGGACAGTAGGGAGAGCAGGCAAATTAACCAGGTGAAGGGGCTCTCTCTGTGTCTCTCTGCAGGTGGGAATTAGAGGGAGAGGGCAAAGGTCAAAAGGTCTCTACTCTATGTTACCTTTGACCTTTAGGGTCACAGTTGACTTTATTATTAGTGTCGTTATAGCCATATTTTCTTCATTAAGCTCAGACTGGCTGGAGAAAGAGAGACAGCACATTTCTCTGTAACTGTAGACAAAAGAGTAGATGTCCGCAATTGCTACTAAAGTGATGTGTTCTGTTGTTCTTTTTTTCTGGTACAGTACATTTACAATTTAAAAATGTACACATAATGGTTTTATAGACTGATTTCAGTGTTTCTTAGACACAGTATATTTAAATTTGACTGCTTTTAGTTTGATTTTGAAGTCAACCCTGGCTTCAAATAGGTTTCCTACAAAACCTTAGCAATAATGTCATGGTAGCCTATATGGTAGCCTATATTTTTGGTATCTGTTAATTATAAGCTAGACAGACACACACTGAGCTTAGCATTTTATATTGTCAGATAGCCTGTAATTAGAAGGTATCGCTACACACGCTAAGCCTTTCCCACCTATTTGAGAGATTTAGGTTACATCAAACATGAAAAGGTATCAAACGTTTAGTTTTGTGTGGGAATTCAGACATTTAAGTATCTCTGTTGACTTCAGACACGCATGTCCTATAGAAAATACAAAGATATAGAAAAATAACTGTGCAGTTCTTGGAAAAATACTCGACTGTGTCATCTTGGCTTTTTAGTTAGTTTTTTTCATTCTCACCCAGAGTTCAAAGGGACTTCTGCCGAGAAAGGGAAACTCAGAGCGGTATCCACGGTGACCGTTACTCACGTGTAACCACGGCACAGTAGAATAATTTTTTTCCTCTTTGTAGTAACCAGGGTGATCACAACAAGACTGGCAGAATTAGATGAATTTCTGGCTTCATGCCTGCACTGCCTTTCTTTCTTTCTAACTGTCCATTTCCTCCTCTCTCACTCTCCCTATCTCACCCCGTGTCACCCTGTTTCACCACTTTTCTTTACAGTTGCTGTGGTGACCAGCACTCTTTGTTCTGTCCATCACAGAGCCCCTTGTTCTACTACAGATTCAAACATGTTCTGTCTGTCACACACACTGTCACTAGTGGTCGATTATTAGAACAGCAACAGGTTACATTACATTTGTTCTTCTTGTCGTAGAGCTGCCACTCATTTAACAGGGGACACATCACTTAACCTGTCACTGACTCTGCTCAGATTAATGCCACTAAATGGCTTCAGGAATGGAAAAAGCTGACAATTCAGAGGCTGTATTCAAGGGAGTGACATAAAATGTTTATTTTTATTGTCTCGTATGTTTGCAAACTCTTCTATGATGTTGGTATTGAGTGAAAACACTAAGTTGCATTGGAAAAAGACAGATGAATGAATTAAGATCAGCAGGAAAAGTATGGCCAGTTTATACTGTAGATTTCCTACACAAACACAAATCAAAGTGCTTCACAGAATGGATAAAATGCATCAAATAAGACATAAATAATAAGATGCTAAAAAGATAAGAGTGCACGATCTGAGTGCATCCTGTATTTTGCTAGTCCAATATCAGGTTACATTGCTAAGGGTGCAGATATACAGATGAGTGACAAGTTAAAGGAAAAACCAGCATGAAATGGGCACTCTGGTAGCTCACCTGGTGCACACCATTGTGCTAAGGCTGAGTCCTTACTGCAGCGGCCTGGGTTAGATTCCAGGCGGACCATTTGCCACATGTCATCCCCTCTCTCAATTTTTCCCCGCTTTCCCATCTCTCTAAAGCTGTCCCTATCTCATAAAGCCTCAAAAAATTATCTTTACAAAACAACATTAAGCATGTTAGTATGGAGCCAAGCCACCACAACCTCCAAAACAACTTCAGTGCTCCTTGCCAAATCTGTGGGACTCCACAAGATTCCATCCATCGTCAACCGCTTATCCTGCGTACAGGGTCGCGGGCACAAGATTTACTCAGGTAATCTCATTGAGATCAAGATCTCTTTTGCAAGAGAGAGCTATGGAAATTTCCCAAAGGTCCACTGGGTTGACGTGTAGGTGACTGTAAAGGCAGAAACATTCTATTCACACCATTTTCATACTCACTAAACCGTTCAGTGAGCCTTAGTGCACAAAAGCATCTGCATCCGATGTGTTTCTTCACTCTTTCATTCCGTTTTTTCCTTTAATGTGTCTGTAGATTGATATGTAATGTATTCATCATTCACAGTGGGTGTCAGACCCTTAACCTCAACCAGAGCTGCAGGTGTTTATTTCACTTGCACTTCAAACACAATCCTCTCCTGATTGGGCTGCAGCACAGCACATAAAGGCGACACAGTCCCAGTTGAATATAAACTCCTAATGGCACCCCTGCTATGTAACAGTACATTTCAAAAGCTCTACCTGTCAGACTACATGCGTGCATAGTACTGCTGTCGTTAGCTATGGAGGCGGAGAGAGGTGGAGATGGAGTGAGAGGAGACGAGAAAGAGAAAGATGAGAGAAGCTGTCAGTAACCATGGCAGCGCGTTTTTTTTTACCCGCCTGTGAAAGATGTGCATTTGTTAATGGTGCAGGATGTACAGCAGACATTGCTGCGCTTTCATGAGCTGGCTGTCCATTTTGCTGCTCTGAGGATTCCCTTTTGTGTGAGCATCGAGATAAGAGAGCAAACAATTGCTGTCATCAGTTCACAGTGAATAATAAGAGCTGCACACACTCACAAATTCAAATCAGGCAGGTCTGCTGTTTGTACTGAAAACACACTATTTCCATTTTACCAGACAATAATTTCTCAGAGATTTTAAGCCCAGTTTTTTCCCCTGGATTTCATTCCTACTCACCTGACTTAAAGGTGTGTAATCCCTCACATCTTGTAAAGCCTTGTTATGTAAGCCTCCCTGAGCCATGCCAATGTCATTTTCTACTGGCACGTATACTTACACAAGCATGAAATGTATGCAGGTTTGTCATACTGAGAGATAGCCATGTACAGATGCATTGCTCTGTTAATATGTAATAATCTACTCGACTGTTAATATCTTTTTTATTTAGAACAGAAGTTCTGTGTTAAGTAAGTGAGAGAAAACAATGAAGGCCGAAGAGCACTGAATCTAAGTGGGCTGTGACTTTTCTAACAAAGTAAAATTTAATTGGCCTGTCATTACTCAATAGGGCCGTTTTTTTTTTTATTATCTTGACTTTATGACTGTTTTTAAGAAAAGAGCTATTCTATATGATGGAGGACAGAGTGGCACATGCCAATCTTTCTGCTATTTTATGAGATTAAACTGCACTGGAAAGATTCCGATTGAGATTTCCGTTCGCCTGAAAGAGTCAGTGCTTGAGTGTACAGAAAGAATTTGAAGGGTCTTCTCTGTATGCTGTAAATGCATGGAAAAATGAAATGTACCTGACGTTCATCATCTTGTTAGTAAAACACAGATGATCCAGGCTGTTAAAGTGTCATCATTTACTCCACCGAAAACCTAAGTTACATCTTAGTTTTTATAAATGTGTCATTTGAAGATGCAGGTGCCATTTTTAAATGGCTGAAATTGCATTTTATTACAAAACCCCAATTCAAATCTTTGCTGGTTTTATCAACAGGTTTATTTCTAGTGGCCAGACTGCTTGATTACTGAAGATAATTGTAATACACTGTTTAAAAGCATAGCATTGAAAAAATCAAGACTGTGATGTATTGTACAAATCTTTTATTTATCTTCTTCTAGAGTGTGTATAGGAATATAGAGGGCTACTATATATTGATTACATATCATTACAAGGCACTTTTTATCCCATAAATTGTTATGTAATTATTTGCTGTTGAGGCTCTTCTACATGAAGCTCCATAATAGTTTTTGAGATGGAAACAGTTTCAAGGTTGTATGTGTGTACAGTCAGCAATCCCAAAAATTTATGACAATGTTTCTGACATGGTTTTTTCATAGATTATTTTACTACTGTGTGTTTAAGTTGGCAGTGCGTTGAAAAAGTCTTCTTGCAGTTTGTCACTGAACTTTGAATGTTTAAACCACCTGATGTTAAAATGTTTTTGTTTTGTAACAGGATGTTAACAAGCAGAGTGCAATTGCTACAGGTTTGGGAAAAATGCACCAGTGCTTCTTTCCCAAATTTGCTTTTCAGGAACCTACTTTCACTTTAATCTGGAAGTATCGCTTCTTAAAAAAATGAAAAATGAAATCAACATGACTAAATGTAATATTGTCCATTCATAAAACCTTCTGTTACATCTCAAAGACAATTTGGTTAAAATATGTTAAGAGAACTAAATTGCAGGTATCCAGTTTTCTCCCAACAGCAGCATGTTTCTGGGGAAAATTGAGCCTCAAATTCTACACAATTTAAAAGATTTGAATGGGAATATATATGGTGTGTTTATTTTTTGGATTGTGGTCTAGTGTGCCTTATTACTATAATGAATGTGTATCTGAGCGTGTTTCTGTGTAAGTGTGTTTGTGTGTTTTGATATAGATGAACTGTGCAGATCTGCATTAAGCAGATCTGATTCTCTGTTACTTGTTACTGTGCTTGTCGTCCTCCTTTCTGTCTCTTTCTGTTTATATCTATCTGTCTGAATTTCTCTCCGTCAAATATAGTATCAAAATCTTTCAATTTAGGCTGAGCTACAGTTCATACGTCCCTCCCAGCTCCTTCAAACACCTGTTTTGTTTTAGTCTGCCTAAAGACACCCACTGTATCAAAAAACACAATACTTTACATTAAAGATGAGGCTTTTGCCGTGCTTGGGTTGCTATAATTGCAGAATGACTGTATTAGATTTGGAACGTATCTGTTTTTTTCCCCATCGGTTTCAAGTTCAGTCCATCCCATAACAATAACACAAGGATTTGTTATATAACATGAACCAGATGTGGGTTGTCCATCAAGACTGTTCTGGATTGGATTATTTCATTATTCGTCCTTGTTATTTGTACATGTTGACATACTGGCAGAACTGTGCAGTTGCTCTGCACTTTTAGTCATGAACAGTACTCTTTGAAGACGCAAAATATTCTTGAATAAATACCATAGTCACTGGAAAAGATCAATATCTTAACTGTCTGTCACCTAAGGATTTTCACTCAGCTGTGGAGGAGAACTCAGCTGCTGTATGTGATGTAGAGAAGCAATGCTCATCCCATCAAGACATACAGTATACATGTGATAATGAGAAAGTATTGCTACAATTTTCATTATATTGTGGGAAAAATGTAAATCAAACCCTAACATGATCATGCACTGACATACAGTATGAAGTCAATTGGAGTTGGTGATTACAGGCAGCACATCGTTGACCAAATAACATTATGGTGAAACATCCCATAATTGGGTCTTCCTTGGAAAGTACATGGTTACAAGGTTGTTTACTTGTCATTTACAACACAAAGTTGTCTAACGAAAAGAAAGTTTGTTGTCCCTTCATGTTACACACAACCTAATAGATAATTAAATGTGTATTAAAAGATGGTAATAAATGAAATAAAACAATACACACAGTTATATATACACATATATAAATACATGTACACACAGAACATTCTGCAGTGCATTTTTTAAATTTGTGTCTGGGGTGAATGTAAACAGCAACAACAAGATGATAATATGGTTTAATCGTCACAAAAAAAAAGTCTGACATTTGGGAAACAGAGTCTATCTTGACTGTGTTTGAGCACCAAACATCATTGATGGAAACACAGAGCATGCCTTCTCTCATCTTGCCGGAGTCTTGCGCTGACAGCTCGGAACACGGTCCGCCCATAGAGGGCTTGATCCAGGACATTGATGGGACAGTCCTCTGTAAAGGTGTGTGCACAACAGTCTCTGATTTCCAAGGCTTGGCCAAATAAACAACCTTTAGTAGCGGCCTTAAGTCCAAACTGGGCCAACATGGCTCCCATCCCATCTCAATAGTGTTCAACAGTTGAATAAATACTGGGGTTATACTTAGTAACTAGCTAATGAAATGTATGGGGTTGATTGTTCTTATGTAGTTTGTATGCTGCTTTGGCAATATTGTTGTTACATTCATGCCAATAAAGCTAATTTGAATTGAATTGAATTGAACTAGCATGTGACAAAAAGGAGATGTTCAGCAACATGCCACTTTTGTTTTCTACATCTCCAAAGACAGTATAACCCCAGACCACTTTTAAGTGTTATGTGATGCATCATAGCCAAGTTGAGTATCAGCTTTAGACAATTTCATTAAAGTGTGACAAAATATTGTATATAGATGTATGGATGACAAATTAAAGGAAAACGCAACATAAAGCATCTTAATATGGAGTCAGGCCACCAAGAACCTCCAGAACAGCTTCAGTGCTCCAGGTCATGTCTGTGGGACTCTGTTGGGGGGGTTGAACAACATTCTACTACAATACACAACCTTTATTTAATCAGGTAATCTCTTTGAGATCAAGATCTCTTATGCAAGAGAGACCTGAGTACAGCAGATAGAAAGAAAACCAGACACAGCTAGACATAACAAAAACATATAGCATCAGAGACAGTCACACACATCACTGAATGTATTTGAAGATAAAAGTTTATATTACTTTATATTATTTGGTGTTATAGAGATGGTGGTGGAGAGCATTGTCTTATATGTCGGTCGAAAATCTTCCACAGGTGAGAAACTGAGATCTTGTCACTGTAAAGGCTGTAGCATTTGATTCGCGTCATTTTCAAACTCACCAAACCATCCTGTGATCCCTGGCGCACGGAAACATCTGCATTTAAAATGTGTTTCTCCACTTCTTCTGAAAGTCAAACTACTTGTTATTAGAATATCCATAATCTGCAGAGTAAACGACATGACTGTTTAACTGTACAGACTGACTGACTTTCACAGCTTAGAAACACAGTTGAAAAAAAGATATTAGCAACATCTGGTCTAATATTGTGTTTTTACCCAAATTCCAAGCAAATAATATACCAGCTACTGAATGATTTACCTTCCATTGCAAGGACAATGAAGTGTGAAAAGTTAATCTTTGTGCATAAATACAGTGAAGTTGGGTGTGACACAGGTCAGTATGCTTCTTGACTTGGTTTCTGTGGTGTTTTATGTGTGAAACTGAAGAATGATGAAGGATAATGCTACCCATGGTTCAAATTGTTCTAGCTGGTTGTTAGGGAGATTAAAAAGCAAAGATCAACCAGTAGGTGGAGATGCTGCATCACAAAATGCATTTAAGAATGAATGCAGTGTTAGAGCTGTGTTTCCAGATCAGTGCACTCCCACACAGGTCATGAATGAAGCAAGGATTTGGCTGAGGATTTAAAACACAGAGATTTCTATTTATTCTCACATGGTTTAATTTGGGTTTGGGACTCAAACTGTTTTCAATCTCAGAGCATGAATTTGCCCTGACTTTATCCAAACACTGAAGTCTAGTGTAATAAAATCTTCTTATACTCTCTTACAACCAGCCCGTTTTGAGCTATAGCAGTAGTTTCCAAAGCACTAAACCCACACTTAAAATCAAACACGTGCTCTAATGTGTTTATCGTTTGTGGTGTTTTCCTCCATCATCACTGATCATGTTAATCAGTCTGAACAATGCATTTTTATAACTTTCAGCTATAATCTTGAAGAATTAGACAGTAGTATTGTTTCTTGAATCATTACTGCTTTAATTTTATTTGGCTCCATACATTGGGTAGTGTGACTGCACAGATGAAACAGAGCAAGGATGAAATACAACAAGGTTTACAAGCCAGGCAACCCATATCACTGCAAGCATATGGTACACTACTCATCACCACTCTGTTTTCTCTCAGTCTCCTCCCCCTCGTCAATCCTCATGTCAACACCTGATAACAACTAAAGAGAATATTGGCTGTACGTCAGCAGCGCAAGACAGAGATGTTCGGAGGGCATATATACTAAAACTCACAAAGCATATGCACACAAACACGTACAGAACACGTTTTTCACTCTGTCTCTTTCCTTTGCTTTCGTTTTTCTCTGCCCCATTTTCACCCCCCCTCTGAAAATGTAGGCTAGCAGCTCTCCTTGAGACATTTTTGGAGTTTGCTGGAACCACATTAGCTGCAACTCCCAAAGGATGGCACTTCTAGGAAAGCGAATACCCAGCGTCACTTCCAGTCAAGGTTGTAACTGCCACTTGTTCATGTACTGTGGGACCAGTGGGAAATGCTTCCACACAAAAATGCACTCTCATTAGGGACACACAAACATGAATTTTATTGGGGATCAAGTCACATGCAGTACATAGCGTAGTGATTATTCATGACAGAACAATAAGGTTCACAGGCTGACTGATTTCAGCAGTGTAATCAACCTACATTATCTGTGAGACTGAGAAATGTCACACTGATGAGTGTTTTTTTTTAAAGAATGTTATTTCTGAAGTTTATTCTCCCAGCAGAGGGAGCCTGGAGGTCTGATTTCCCTCTGTGTTTGTTGGAAACAAAGACCAGAAGCCAATCAGAAACCAGTTCAAGGAATTAAATCCGGACTCCTTGTGGCCATGGCAACGGCTTTACCTCTGTGAGAGCTGAGGAATGGAAATGAAAGAGAGGAGATGCTACATGGACTGGGGACGGTGCTTAGCACACCTCTCAGAAAAGGTGCCTATAGATCCAACCTTAGTGACCCCGCTCCATTTTGACTGGCTCATTTCCGCAGGGGAAAACTCAAACAAAGAGCAAGGGAAGGGGGGACAAGAATCATCAGTAGTTATGCACTGGAGCTGTGTGTAAACAAAATAGAAAGAAAAACAGGCAAAGATGAATTTACTCAGATAAAATGCGATTTAGAGGATTCCATGAAGATTTGATATTCGTTCAGAGGACAAGAGCAGTGTGGTGTCTCATCTGAACAGACATATGAAAAGTCTGGAAGAAAGGAAGGAAAGAATGGCATAAGTGAGTGTGGGCAAGGAAGGGAACTCAAATAGATGAAGATATGTGAGGTTTGGAGTCTTTTTTTTTTTTTTTTTTACACTTAATACCAGAGACTTTTGTCTTTTCAAGAAAGAAAGTCTGTTGCACACTTGCAGCTGTACCAAGGTGTCTGATTGGTGTGTGATATGAGTAAGTCAAAACGCACTTATAAAAACAGAACACCACTTGTGCTGAAATGATGGGTTCCTCGGGTTAAAGTATATAACATTTAGCATTTTCCTTTTATAGGTCAGGTATATGTGATTTTATGTCTGTATGTTTTCCAAAGCACATCACAGGTAGGCTATATTTTTAAGGAGACATCCCACTGTTCCAACACAAACGCAAGTACTTTTAACATATTTTTGAAAATACACTTTCAGAAACAAAACCCAGAATAGTACACATCTTCTCACAGCCTACCATGCATGTTAGCTGGAATGTGTTCTCTCTCACCCAAATCGCCAAGGCCACTTCCGTTGGTCCAAATGTAGTTCTGCCTTTGATCCGGCCTCTACTTTTACATGACACATCCAATTGGCTATGGTATTCTGAACTTGTATTGTGATTGCCCGTGCTTTCTGTCAATCAATGTCAAACGCGTCCTGCTCACCGACTAACCACGCCTCCTCACGCTTTCTCTCTCGCCAGCGGTGCATCTGTGCGTGTAAACTGTGGAGTTCCTCGCCGGGAAGGAGGAAACGTGTTATCTGTTAATTTTTGCAGGTCTCTCATGTTGTTATTACGTTCGGAGTGACGTTTGAACGGGTTTCGTCGGTACTTCGGGTTGTTCGTAACGGCGGTGTGGCGCGACGCTGTAAACACTGGGTGTTTGTCACCTGGCTGCAGCAGCTGACTTTGAGTCCTGAGAAGAGTGGAGCCGCTAGACGCTTGTCAAAAGAAAACAGGCAGTTGCCAACAAGAAGTTAGCCAGTTAGCCTGCCTGCTAGCCACCTCTCCCTACAGCCCCTCAGCAAGCAAGTCCCACCCTCACCAAGTGCGTGGACGCCGTAAGAAGCTGCAGCGGTGAAGTCGAGTGCTTTTCCCTCTCACCGTAGCCAGCATCGCCGCAAGTTAGAGCGGGCTGGCAAGCTAAAATAGCCTTCTAAACGTTAGCTAGGTGACGCCAACGTAAAATTGTGGGCTTTAACGTTGGACAAGTCACTTCTGAGGTGGGATACGGTCGCTACACTGGCAAAGAGACCGGCAAAAAAGAAGAGGCGAAATAAGAGAGAACAAGGAAGACGCTGAGAAGGAGGGGACTGGCTAGTTTAGCCGGGGAGACAGAATCTCACGTAAGTGACACACAGTTGGTAACGAGAGGAGAAGTTAGCGTGCCAAACGGCTTACCGGTAACCTACTGTACAACTTGCTGTGCTTGCATGGCAACGTTTATCCAGGCAGCCACTTATCTGTGGCTTAGCTCCTACAGCCAGTGCGCCATACTAAGAACGTAACGTTAAGCTAACGGTTAAGGCTTCCTTGAAGGTGGCACACTAGCTAGCAAGATAGCTAAAGCCTGATCCAACCACTTAAATAGCAGCTCGACTAACGTTTGTTGAAGTCGTTCCCTGTTAGCTATGTTAGATATGTAAGTTTAGTAAGTAAGTGTACTTGGGGACCGAACAGCGCAGTAAACCAGTTGTCATGAGTATTAGCTAATTAGCTGCTTGGCTAGCTAGTTATACACGTCCACCCACCCAAGTTGACAGTTCAGTTTCTGACGATGCAAAGTAGTAATGTTAGTGAAACCCAACGAATGTGACTGGTTATCTGTTTGCCCCACAGGAAATGCTAGTCTAATATCTGTTTTGTGCAGCTGCGGGAACTGTGTGTTCCCTGGCTCAACCCTAGATAAAGTGGCCGTTCAGTGACTGTGTCACAGCAACACTTAATGTAGGCTATTGCATTGCAATTGCATTATGTTTCTTATAAATGACAATGTATTGTCTGTTCAGCTGTCAAAACGTTATGGTTATTTCTTCAGATACCCAGGCTGTCCCTGGACATCCCAGTTCATCAGCCACTTAACATTCTCAGGCCTCACACAGTGTACTGGCATAGTCAAAGTCAGCTGTTCAAATCAACAATTAGGCAATCCTTAAACACATCACAGCCCAGTAATCAAACACAATTATGACTCTGTACCAAAACAAACTCAGACTTATTTTCTCTGCTTCTGTAGATAGATAGCAAACGCCGCCACTGAGCCACGTACAGCCATGAGTATTGAGATACCAGTGGGGTTGACCGAACTGCTGCAGGGCTACACTGTGGAGGTGCTGAGACAAAGGCCGTCAGACCTGGTGGAGTTTGCAGTACAGTACTTCACCCGTTTGAGGGACAACAGAAATCAGGATGGGGCCAGTGCTGGTGGCAAGACGGGGAAAGGAGTGATGTTTGATGGGGAGCCGATGCAAACAGAGTCCAATGGCGAGGATGACGAAGATGATGATTCTGACTTTGAGCGTAAGTTAATATTTTGTTGTTATGATTGTCAGTTGTTGCGTTGAACAATGTATTTGTGAGGGAGATGGGGCAGAATGAAAGAGTGTGTGTTGCTGTGAGGTGGTTGGAAAGTGAAGATGAGGCATGCCATATTTGCACACATACACTTTCATCCTGAAAATCCCATTAAGCAGACAGTTCAGCTAGGCAGACCTCATCTGCCACTCATCTAATCTAGGACTTCTCCATTCTCATCATCTATCCAGCTGTCAGGATCTAAAAAAGTACTTTAAATGTTTTCAGTATATCAGTTTGAAGGCCTTAAAGGGTCTCATTTTGCATAGCTTTCCATTAAAATCATTTCAGAAACTGAACATTTTAAACTAATTTTAAAAGTAATTTTGACCTGACTACACAGACCTTTTATAAAAGCTTTCCACTTTAGTTACATTGAAATGATCTCGGACTACATTCTTGCAAGCAATAAAAGTAACAAAAGGCAACTTGCAGATACACTGTGAGCTATAGTCACAAGGGATTGGAAAAAAAAAAGTTGTGAAGAAACTTTTTCAGCTTTTGACTATCAGAAAAAAAAAAATGCCAGTCTTTACCACTTTAATGTAATAAGTTGATCCTTGTACCATTTTTGCCAGGATACGCTCTGAAAGTTAAATCCGTGATGTCAGAAAATTGAATAGGCCCACGCATACAACTTGACAATCAAAGTAGAGTTGGAATAAAGACAATATTTTCAGGATAAAATGCATGTCTTTTCTAAGCAACAGTGTACTTATGTACATTTAAGACTTCATGAACTATCTGACCATTGCTTTGAAGCTCTATCATGGTTTAGCAAAAGTTATGCAGTGCCTCTTTCGCATCACTCCCCTGTGTTTGACAGACTGGCAGAAGATGTAAGCTGCTCCATAGCTCAGCTCTCCTCTGTGCTGCTGAGAGCAGAGTGGCCTAGATCACATCAGTGTGCTGTGGAGCGCTGTCACCTTGTGAAGGGGGGTTTCCGCTGTGTCAATGAGTTTATCCATCATAATGATCCACTGCGGTGATCTGTGAATTTAACATAAGCGTAACTCCTGAAATTCACTGATGATCTGAAGACGTTTTTAAGCTAATGACAGAATTTCACAATGCTTTCTGTGTGTGGAAATACTAAATCAACTCAATCTAAATGTGTCTGAGGTATGATTATGGCTTGCGCAGTTTCTCTCCTGTTTGTATCATCGTCACATAGAAAAGTATTGGTGGAGTCTAGTTGTTGAGCACATTAGTTAAGTTCATTAAACTTTCTTCAACTTGGATAGTAGTTTTCGTTTTAACCTAAGTTTCAGCTTGACTCTGTTTCATTTATAGGTTAACCATATTTATCTTGCCCCAAATGCTAATGTTCATCTCTGCTGAAAGCAATGCTGGCCAGCCTCGTAGATTGGTACAAGCTGGCTCGGGGTAAAAGGGGGATTACAGTTTCTGTTTCTATGCTCGCACAAGTGGGGTTTGGCTGCTGTCAAACAGCTGCATCCTCAGCTGAGGGAGCGGTGTGTATTTGCGTGCCCAGGTGGTGTCTGTGCGTGCATGTGTATGTGGGTACTTGTGAAGGCAAGCAGATGTGTTATGACTTGATTTCACGCCCGTTCAAATTCCAGCCAGTGACGGCATGAAGCAAGTCTTCCTAGTACATTCTGATTAGCGATCAGTTGTTAAGCATCATCCAAGGTGGCAATAAAGGACAGGGATCTGATACTGTTGTACTCCTGGGAGAAGCTTTTGCCTGTATGCTGTGGGTAGATTATCCAGACCAGGCCAGTGTACACTGCTCCCAGGGGACATCGCTTCTGAGGGGAACAACACAGGCTTGTATAATGAAAGACATCATGTGCTCTTGCCTGACCACTGATTTAGCCTATAGGTATAAAGAGTGCTATAGTGGTACTAGTTCAACAGCACATGCTCCAAAACAGTTTGGTCTTGTGAAGAAAACCAAAATAACTTTTAAAACTCGGGATTACAAAGCATGGATAGATATTCTTAGTTATTTCCATAGGTGACGCATACCCAACCTGTTTAGTTTCAACCCTGATCTACAGAGAATAACACATTACAGTCATGACCACTAATGCTAGAATACAAACGGTGTACCTCTGTGCGTAACTTAAACTGAACAGTAATATAGTTTCATAGGGTGTTTCTGATGGCCTAGGATGTTTAGATGCTGACCATACAATCACAACCTCCCTGGATCGAGTCTGGTTTGGGCCCTGTGTTGGAAGTTACCACATTACTTTTTCTGCTGTCAGCTGTCTACTGTACACTATCCAGTACTTGTGGAACTTTGAGTACCCATAACTACTTAAAAATAGAACATTTTGTGTAAAATATAGTTTTACGTGTTGTGTCAGAGTTTAGTGCCAAGATGGAGCATCTTTTCTAAGGTCTGACTTTGACACACACTGTTAGAGGTTTGAAAAAGAATTCAGCTGAGAAGAAAGTAATTTTCTCACCTGTATAGCACATTAAAACATGCTTTTGTCAGGCTTTGACCCACTAGAAGTAGGCCAATCACTTATTTTGGGTTTTGATCTCTTGATTAAGAAAAATAGCTGTTTAGCTGAGCCGCACAGTGCAGCTGTCTGTATGGGAAAAGTAGTTTTATTGGACCTGAATATGTTTAAAAAGTCCAAAGTGGTGAAATGCTAGTTGTGTAACATGAACACGATATTTATCTGTTGTATTTTTCAAAAAAAAATTTTGACATCCTTTTTATTGTCTTTTATTAGGCTACTTACAGCTATGATGATTCACCAGTGTGCTCTTAACCTTTCATTCGCACAGCAGGAAATCGCTGGGTATGAGTGCTGAACAGCTAAAGGCCTAAAATGTAAATGAGTTCGATTGCTGGTTATGTATTCCCATGGATAGTACAGTATACCCATGAAACATGACGTACTATTTTACTTGCTTTGTTTTCCTAACTCTCGCTGCCTAAATCCACAGCAGGATCACGACACAGGCCTAAGCTGCTTAACAAAAGGAGTTATTGTTTTGAATACAAACTCTTGTACCTCCATCATATCTGGTGATGTTGGGCCAATGACATTTAAGTTACCCTTCCTGTGTTGAGTTTCAGTTAAGAAGTGGTATATTGATGGATTAAAGGTATTAATTCAGAGCTGCTATATTTCACTTAGAGACTAATGCATTGGCTCTGCTAGAAATGTAAGAATACATGAATAAATATCAGGATCCCCTTCTTTAAATAGACTTGCCAGGTTAATCCAGGTGAAATGTGTGATCTTTCCATTTTACTCAACAGTCACTCGAGTTACAAAGAACTGTGGTATATTAAGGAAAGTACAGGAATTATACAAAAAAAAATGCAATACAGACATGTTTTCGAATGCATGAATGTTTTTTTTTTCTTTGGAGTGTCAGTCTGGCAGTTTGAATAGGTTAAAGGCCTTACATGCTTTGAAATACAGTAAGGTCCTAAGTGAGACCCTCAGTAACTGAATTCAAGGTTTTACATTCAGTTTCTGTGGTGTGTCAGTTTTCACTCAGTTTTCTTCAGTGATTAAAAAAACAAGTACATAGAAAAAAGTTGTCGTTAAACTGTTAACCACATGCCCTCAGTCTAAACTCCCTCTGTGTGTGGGTTAATGTACCAAAGAGATCATACAGGAAACATCTGTCTCCATAACTTTACAATGAGATATTTAATACCACATTTATTTATAAAACAAATTCTGTCTCACTTCTTTCTGTCTCTCCCTCCACCCCCTGCTGTTGTGCCTTTCTCTGTTTCCCTCTTCCTTTACCTCTCCAATATAGTAATGATATGTGTTTAGTAGCTAAAGTAACTCATGACTGTTGGAACGTACATAGAAAGGGCAGAAAGAGCCCAGTGGTTTTCGTTAACGTGTACAGTTTTCTCCGTTCTCTTTGAATAATATTTTCTTCTAATTCAGGTCTTCACTCTGGACTATTTTCCTTAATCCAGTTTTACTCCGTGATGTTTTCCTTTCATTTGTGTGTGAGAAATGGACGTTATACTGAGCCCCTATAGGAGCTGGTAATTAGTGCAGCGAGCGGAGCTGAGATGTCTGTATTCATTATCCTGCAGGGACGGTGCGTGTGTGTGTTCACAGTTGTATGAGCGACTTAAAAGGGAGAGGGAGCACATGCGTGTCCCTGAGTGCCCATCACTGAGTGTGTACATTTGTATGCCTGTAAAGGTGTGCGTGTGTGGCTAGTCTCTTGTGCAACAGGTGACCTGATTAGCAGGCTGCAGTGTGCGTTCAGCCTTCAGGCAAATCTCCCGCAGCCTAGCATCCCTACAGAGAGCTGCCACAGCTAATTGGAAAAGCCCTCAGACGGCTCATGCTACTCAGTCTGGCTTTCTGACTGTTTTGTAATACCGTACCTGTGTGTGTGTGTGTGTGTGTGTGTGTGTGTGTGTGTGTGTGTGTTTTTAATTTATTTATTTTTACCACATTTGAATCTGAAATGTTTTAAACCCTCCTCTTGGCTCTCTGCCCAGGTGACTTTTACCTGCGTATGTGAACTGAACTCGCTCTCTGTCTTACGTGTGTTTCTTCTCCTTAATTTTTTCCTCTGTTTACCAAAGTACGTTTTTCGCCACCTGTTGATTGTCCTTTCCGTTCAGCAGTCGTTTTGTCTTTCTGTTTTTGCGTCATTCCTTTTGCTGGTGTGTCTACCTTCCTGCCCGCTGTCATCCACCTTTTCCTTTCTTATCTTTTTGAGACTCTTTACTTGACTTACTTACTTACAGAAATATGCTGACTTCCAGACTCTTTGGATCATTTGTTTTCTGTGCCTAGATCAATTTATAAAAATAAGAAGCATGTTGTTAAAAGTGAACAGTAACATCAAGAGAGACACTGTGTATTATTACTTAAGCCCCTTTTCCACTGCACGGTAGCAGCTCGACTCGCCATTGTGGAAATGTTGTACCTGCTTCTAGGTACTTTTTTTCGTATCACCTCCGTCAA